GTTTCATAAAATAATCATTTCCTTGTATGAGACGAAAAAAGTTGGAACAGCAGAAGTTGGTTAAATTTAATTTTAAAAAATCATACAAAATGAATAACATTTTATTAAATTTCAACAACTTCTTCTATCCCGATTATTTTCTTGCAATACAATAAAATCTTTCTTATAAGAAACTGAGTTGAGCATTAAAAAAAAAAGTCAATTTTATTCATTTTGTACGAAAAATCATTTTATCCAAGTCAAAGTCAAGTCAAGTTAAATCATTTAAATCATAGTTTATATATTTATTTTAGATAAAGCGGTAGTAGGGCTACTATAAAGGAGACAGTTACTTCTCAACGGTACGAATTCCTGTGGTGTCACGTAACTTACCTATGACTTTAATTTTCTAAATTACCTACAATTTGTAAATGTTTCGTAGCATTATATCTCGCTAAGAGTAAAGGAGAATATTGTGATGAAAGCTGCATGTCGAAGAAGGCTTTCATCTTTGGAAAACTTATGAAGTCCCTAACTCTCAATTGGACCAGGGTGGCGGACCATTTTGTCATCCTTATCATAACTAACGCATTTATATTTCGGTAACTTTCGATATATTAAAACCCTAAGTTTATTTGCTTCTAAAAATGTAGTTTACGTTGATTTTGCTGAAGAATAAAAATGAAACAAATAAGCTATAAACAAACCGATTAGAGGGGGTTGTAGATCTCGTTTTGCTGATCCCTGATATGTTAATATCTCAATTTCGCCAAAAATGTCTATTACGTTAGTTAGGATAAGGAGATCACTATTGCCTAAACCTAGAGGAGATTCATGACCAGTAGTCATTATGATTTTATTTTGTGCATACAGATTCCCAAACTCCCAAAAAAGAGGTTCCCAAACTTTTTGTGTGATAGACCACATGCCAATCTTTTCTTTTTTGCTTAGACCCCCTGCCTTTCTAATTTGGACTTTTTTACAAATTCATTAACATCAAATACCTGTATAACAGCTGACACAGTACCCCCATTTTTCCGTTGACATGGACCCTATATGGACCTATTGGAGTCTATATCGACCACTTTGAGAATCTTTTTGAGAATTGCTATAGATGAACTCAAACGACGAACGCGTGCGTAACCTCAAAAATTAATATTATAGAAAACCGTTTTTTATTATTAAATGACGTACCCAAGTACATTTAAAAAACACAAAAAAAGTGTGAAGGTTTAATCTCAAATTTTTTAAAAATTATTGTTATAAAAATTGCTAATATTTCAAGTGGTCACACATCCAACTATTGATTCTACAACTTTTGTGATTCTTGAAAATGAAATACTGTTACTAATTTTCTGATTTTAAATACGATTCCATAATTTTTGGATGTGTTTTGGAATGTTCTTATTCATTCAATTTTAAAAACAAAAGAATTTCAATTCTCATATTCAATTTTAGAAACAGATATTCACAATTTGAAATAAACGTTTTGAATTTATTTTTCTTTGATTTATTAATCCCTCACACACGTACATGGACGTATTGTTCATAATATTTAAATTTATTCTAGCGCGGCGCTGTGTGGTCTGCACAATTTGACATACACTATGAAGACTTCTTTGAGTACAGATAATTAAAAAGATTTTAAATTATTATGATTTAGGTACATAGGTTCTTTCATTGGCGGCGTTAAATTTCGTGTTAAAATTGAAAAAAAAATACACGCTTAATATCAATGTGCATGTAGCTGCATACATCTGCTCACCACAACTTCTACTACCGGGGACCGAGAGATAGGGAGTTCCGGGGAGATTATGGGCTCCCCGGTAAGACCACCCAAGGAGCACATCTTTTTCTAAGTAAATATTATAAGAATTAAGAATATTTTAACGATAAACTATTTTAAAATAAAATTGAAATCAACTATTATATAATTACACTACTTATTTTTACTTTGACAATTTGTAATATGTGTGTATATATGTATGTATGTACTAATTTAAGACCTATATATAACAACATGTATGCAATAAAACATAAACAAATATATCTAATAGAATTTACTTCGATTGTCTATTATAAGAGTTCCAGTTCCCTCAAGATATTTCAAAGCATGTTTATACATATTCTTTAGTAAAAGTGCGCACAACTTTATTACTAGATCACAAGAGTGGCTTGAGAAATTATTATATAGTGATCTTATCTTTTTTCTCAAGTAACTAAGTAGAAGTAAAGCAAATAAAAAGTAGAAGACCATTTCTGGAGCAGGATTTAATATTGTAGATAGTTTTTCACCTGATAGTTCATTACCTGAGAACTCGATAGAGTGTTTTATATATACTTTAAAGTATTAGTAAATTAGTGACACCGTTAACGAATAGTGACATTGATGAAGTCGGTTAACAATAATATGTAAATTAACATTAATTTATCGAGTTCTTAGATTTTCGCGATTGTTACACATATGAAATGAAACTATTTTTCCGGATTTAAATCGCGTATATTTGTTTTTTCAAACAAACCGACGTTTCGGGCCCTACAACACACACAAAACATTAATTTGCTTGTTTACCTAAAAGGCTTGGAGATTAGAGACTATATTTACGTCTTTGGCATCCGATACCGCGACATTTCTAAATATAAATGTTTTTAACTTGACGTCGGTCGGACAATGAGGGACGCGCAAATATTTGCCATAAGCGTAAACAAACCTTACGGCGTAAGCGCCGTTGTGTTCGTGTAAGGTTGAACAAAAAGAAAAAAAAAGAGAATATTCATTCACTCCCGCGAAATTTAAATCATCGGCTGTAGTCTGTTTACTGAGGCAACGATTACGTGAAATTGCAATTATAAGTATCTCAGAGGCAATAAAGGAGGGCGGAACGAACGCTTTGCGGGGATAATGCCGTCATAAAAAGCGTGCTTAAATTGTTAAATTTACCTGAGAACAGCAGGGTGTACAATCAAATCATCTCTCTCAAAGCTTCTTGCTGTATAAATTAGGATGGAGGTCGGTGAATTGAGAAAATGTTGCTTGTCCGGAAATTGAAAAACTTCACCGGGCCCGCTCGTTCTTTTTATTCTAGAATTTGACAGTTTTTTTAAGGAAAATGAATTTACGAACGGACCACATGGCAATTTACGCGCTTTTTATTAAACTCGGCCGGGTGCGTGATTGTTTTACGAGGACTTGTCTCCATTTTGCTCAACTTAATTATTTCTATTTACTTTCTATCGCTCTAACTACAACGTATAAAATCACTTAGGTTTTGTTAAATGAAAGAACCCCACAATTAAAATGACAACTGGAAAACAATAAGAAGCCTTATTCAGTACTTTATTGCTAAGTAGCAATATATTTAGACAATCTGAGTTTACTATGTTGTATTGGTTCTTGACTGAAAAACTAGTTTTTACTGCTGCTTTTTTCTCAGCGACTCTTCTTACGTTTTTGCTTCGTCTCTGAGAGCTCTCTTGCATAAATTAAGATGAAAATGCAGGTGCAAACCTAGATTTGTCTATATAAAAGACGCGCATTTTATAAGTGACGTTGGCGTTGGCGTGACGTTAATCCAGCCAGTTAATTTTAGGAGGATTGCAGAAGCACAATTCAATAGGTATATTAATCTCATTTATATCCAATGTGCTATTTTCAGTTAATTGTCTAATAATTGTAATATAATAATACGGTAGCCCGCTGGAAGAATGGTTGTTGAATGTTGATTCTAAATTGAGAGATTGTCGGTTCGAAACTTGGGGCACACACCTATGAGTTTAATATTTAGTTATGTAGTACATAATTAGGGTTTAGGTTATAACCTAACCTAAACTTTTTATAGAAAGGACCTGTGGAATAATAATAATAATAATAATAATAATGACAATGACAATAACAATGACAACGACAACGACAACGACAACGACAACGACAACGACAATGAAAATAACAATGACAATGATAATAATAATAATAAGGCACACACTCAACATAGCCCCGCACTAGAGAAACCCTGTGTCGCAGTGCTATGTACACAAACATAGACAACTACAAATTGCACCCAAACTCACGAGAAAAATAAATGTATGCCATACAAATATTTCTCTTAGCCCGGCAATCGAACCTGGGACCTCTGGGCGGCAGTCCGGCGTGGTAACCGTTTGGCTACAGAGGCAATCATGCAGGGAGGCAGTTAGGAGGGTATGTATGTAATAATGGGTTGATGACGACTATTCTACTTCGGATTTATATCGTCAATGCTTTGGGGAATTAATTCGATCCGGATCGAATGAATTTTTCTTTGTGTTCGATCTTTGTATTATAACAAACTAATAGAGTAATTTCACAAAAAATAATTGAATAAATATCTTGTTATTCAATAAACTTAAATTACTCGAATTAATATAGTTTATTTTTCAACAGCTACGACGTCCGCGGGCGGTCCTTCAACAAGGCTCTTCAATGGTCAGACCCTGGAGCTTTCGGTCCCCGCGCGTATTTCGCAACTGTGGCGCAACCAGCTGCCTTGACCCTCAGTTCGGTGCAACTTGATGATGAAGGAGTGTACAGATGTAGAGTTGACTTCAAAAACTCTCCAACTAGGAATTTTCAGATTCGCCTTACAGTTATAGGTGAGTTACTTTGAAGACTTGAATTTGACATTGATAGCAATCTAGATACGAGCCAAAATGTTCCGCGGAATTGTGCGAGCATGCGCGAGAATTCCATTCCGTTCCGCCAGAATGTAAATTGAGTGCGTTATTATTATTATGAAACGAATTTTCACTCGACAAAGATGGAAAACGAACTTTGCCTAAGCTTAACTTAGGCAAAGTTCGTTTTTTTTGTTCGTTTCGTTCGAGAAAGTATGTGAAAATTTCGTAATTTTTCGCTTAAAGTTTGTTTTATAAATCTCAATATTGCAATATTATAAGCTTTCACATAAAATTTTTATATGATACTTATAGCGCTTATAGCTAATTTCAAAATAATTTTTCACGATAAATTTACTTTCCATTTTTTATAAAATCCCTATAATACTGACAAAGAGTTAAATCCCGTAGAAGCAGTAACGGACATGAACTTTACTAAATTGGTTGTTTGGTTTGGGTGTTCCGGGTAGTCATAGTATTCACGTAGAATATAAAATTATTATTTTAAAAAAGGAAAACTTTTTTCAAGATTGTGACATTTCACTGTATGTATTTAATGTATGTATTTAATGCAAGATCTGTTCTTTAGTGTTCAGGTAATAAATCATTATTATTATATTATGCTACTTATAAGAGTATATAAAGTACACGTTACGTTATAATACGTTTGGTTAGTTATCTGTCTGGATTTTATTGTGTTTTTTGAGGTATTGTTTTTCTGATGGGGCTGACATGTTCAATAATGATCAAAGCACCTAAATAAATAAAGGTTCGGTTCTGTTCAGTTCAGTTTAGTTTAGAAGAGCTCCTTGTGAAAGAGCTCGTCCAAGGAAGTACTGCCACTTTACCTTTTTCTACCGCCAAGCAGTAATGGTCACATTATCATGTTACGGCTGTGAAAGGTAAGGGTGCTGGTGAAATCACAGCCACATGAGACTTGTCAACTTATGTCTCAGGGTGACAGCCGCAGTGGCAGTGCCCCCAGATCTTTATGATTTATAGTAATGAGTAACACTGCAACTGTTATGGGCAGACGTGTGGCTTCACTTGGTATTATGAAAAAAAATGTCGTTGACCTAGCGCTGATTTGGTGATGGAAGTGGCAGACAGATGAGAGGAACCCCTCAACAGTGTACACCGTCTATAGTGTACACCAACTACCGTGAATTTGGGCTCATATGATTCGTTTTGACGAAGACTTCCATATTATGCTTTTCAGTATTACGGTAGTTTTTTTACCGTGTGTTCTAATAGAAAATGATAATCTTAATATATGTTCCGGAGCATATATTAAGATTATCATTTCCTAAGTTTCAAACTTATATTAAAAGTATTTTAATTGAAAAGTCACATTACAAAATTTAGGACTATGTTAGATAAAGATGTATGGTAAGAAAACATGAGTCTAGATTCCACACAAGTGTGATTCAAAGTTGTATTGTTTATTTGAAAAGAGCAATCTCTAGAGTTTCTTGGTCGTTCTTCTTAGGTAAGTCAGCACATTGAACGAGCAGTTGCTTAAAAAGTGACCTTTTCACCTGACAAGCTCGGAAAAAATTACTTTCTCATTAGAAATCTGCGCGCAAAAGTGTTTTTTTTTCACGCGTTTCTTGACGATGGACTGTAGTGCACCTAACTTATTCTTTCGATGAAAGAAAAACATTAAGATACGTTCAACTACGCGATTTGTCGTACATTATTCATATAAGTAATATAAATCCGTTAGAATATTTTATTATTTTTGACGTTAAATTGACAAAGACAACGAATTTTGTTTATTAAAACTAATTTCTTATAATTATTCTATTTTTTTTCATCTACCATTTTTTTCACTATAGTGAGGTGAAAAGTAATGTGTTTCGCTCGGGAGTAAAGTTGTTTTGCTTCTCGTGGCTTGAAACCCTCACTTCGCGGTTCAATCTTAGACTCATTCGCTTGCTCAGGTTTCAATACAAGCACTCGCGTCAAACACTTTGCAGCCTTGCATAACAATTAACTATTTCAAGTGTAAAAACCTGTGGAGTAAATTTTTATTTGACTTTGACTGACTATCATAGAGAAGATCGAGATAACGAACACAACGAAAGCGAATAAGCAAAGTATTGAATGGAAGTTATAATATAAGGAATATTGAAGTTATAATTAAAGATATATTTGTTTTTACTAATTTCACGGACGATTGTTTGTTAAAACTGTCTAAAGCGAGCAATTAAGCAAAAAATTCCGTTTTGTTAAAGTTTTTTATCCTCGAAATGGAAATTTTACGAGGCGGCGACAGGGAATCAATTTAGTCATTATGGATAAGTCGCGGGCGGTCGCCCACCGAGTAATGACATCTTGCAGACATTTTAATTATGAACTGTCGCGTTGGGATTCACAGAACATGGACGATGAAAAGTTTCATAACGGACTTCATGTTTTTCACCTTTATCTGACAATAATAAAATCTGCTGTATCCCGCAAACTTGAATTATGCACTCTTTCCTTTAGATTCAACCAAGGATAACTAACAGGTAATAAATATTATCCGGTTTATAGCGTCAGTGCCAATTTACCACTGAAAATGTGATTATATTGAAAATGAAACTATTATTTCGGATCGAAATCGCGTATATTTGTATTTCAAGCAAAACCAATGATACTGGCGCTTAGTAAACGGCTGACATTAAAATGGACTATGTACTGTATAGGAATGTAAAAAGAGTGAGGAAAAGAACGGAAATGAACACAAATACTTATATGAAACGCAATAAGATATATAATACACGACACACAACCAGAGACGGACAGGGCAACCCGCGCGGGTTTTAACCGGGTTTTTACTCAAAGTGCATTTATGTCCAAAATCGTAGGCGGGTACGACGAATACAGAATTTGGTATAATTGCATACTTATTACAGACTTCCATGTCAAAATAGTAATTAATGTGACAGTTACATAATGAAAGGCATGAAATACGAGACGAATGTTTTAATGCCTAATTGTATACATACAGTTACATACAGTGCTTTATCTATCTATACACATATTATAAGCTCTCTTTGATGTGTTCAGGAAACGCATGTTACGACTGGTGAAATGGCGGCAAATGAAAACTTTTCTCACGCATGTCACATAAACGCAGTTTTTATTTAATTCATAGACAAACTAGAGTCGGCCCCAACTATCATATCGTTCGATATCAAGTAACGTGTGAAATTAATTGACCTACCAACAAATGGACGTCGGGTCTAATACAAAAACCAAGAAAAAATTTCCGAAGTTAATCTATACAAACGTAGTGACATGTAACGAAATAAAAAAACTAAAACATTTAATTTAAGTTGTAACATCATTGCAGTACTACCTAATTTTGCTTGCGACAATTTAAGGGCCCGAACACACCATATTCAGATTCTACTGGAAACTTAACAAAATGCACCTTATTTAGCTTCGACTGAAAATTACTTGAACACAAGAGTAATGGAGTAGCCTTTATCTTAAATATTGATTCATTTTTATAAATATTATTATGTCGAATTTTGAATAAATTCACTTAAAGAAATAATAAAGAGTTGGGCAGATACATACACACCAATATTACTACAAATGTGAAAATAAGCGTGTACTATAAGAAATGTACCGATATTCCAACTAAACGTAAACTCAAATAACGATTTATAATAAAACCATTACGTTTTCGAGTAATTTTGATGCCTTTCACTAAGGCAAAATTAACTTTTGTTTTGTAAGATTTCTAAAAAAATACATTTAACATTATGAAAATTCGAGCTAACGTTATTTCGGGTAAATGTAGTTTCTGACTTCTGATAGGTAATCTCAAACCGTAAAACGAGTACAACAATATTTTGTTACTTATTGCTAACTTTTAATAAAAAAAATCATTTTAAAAATAAAATTAAAATCAAAGCGACTCTATACTTTCTTTGTTCTAAATATTTCAATCGCTTGTGGTTCAAACAAATGAAAATGACCAAGAAGTTTTATTTAATTTTATTATTTAAGCTTCTTGAAATTGACGTAATGGGTCTCTTTCCTTCTTTTGCGCATACATTGTGTAAAAAAAGGACAGATAGCTATTTGATTATTTTGTGTGCTTTTGTAATTTGTACTCACGATTCATTTATGTATAAACATGTATAAATTAAATTAAATACTATAAAACTGTACAAAATAACACTTTTAAATGAGAACTATGATAACACTGTTATTTGTTTAGTGACAATATGATACAAAATCCTGTTTTCTGTTTTTACACTTTACTGCAGTAATTTTTACAAGTTATTGTTATATAGTACTGTATGATTGACGACCGCACTGTCAGTCGAACAAACGAAGACTGTTGCGCGATTGACGCTCTGTATGCGATTTCCATTCCAACCCGACGTCCATTTATTGGGTGAAAGTGGTCAAAATTGTTTACTATTGATTAGAATTAAGGTTGAATGAAATTGTTTTGTTTTTCAGAGATGATCGAAATTTGAATGTAATAATAAAATCGAATCTGATGTTATTAATACGCAATAATAACATTTTCATAGATAAGAAATTTGTTCTAACAAAACAGTTAATCTTCATGTTGCTCGTAATTTACGGTTTTTGAACACATCATAGAGGGTTTATGATATGTGTGTAGATAATATCTTTTTTAGACGAAAAAGAGGCAACTCCACACAATACTCGCCCAACTTGCAATCCTGTGATTTCTCACCAATAAGAATGCCTTACTATTCGATTTTTATGAAAATCGATTTATGTGAATACGATCGTTTGCTTATATTGATTTATTTCAATGAAATTTTCAAGCGAGTCATTCAATAGAATAGTCATTCCAGATCAGAAAGCAATAAACATTTTGTAATATCATTAAATGTAAACAAAATTCGATTTACAACAAATATTTGGTTGTAAATAATGTATGCGCTCGATTTCAGTTATTTATTTATTCATTCATTTCGGGCACCCAACAGCTAACAATA